GTTCAGGCAGTTGGTATCTGTGCTTGGCTGAGGAGTCAGGGGAGTGGAGATTGACTCCCCCACCGGGTATTACACCTACGGGCATGTCTGCGTCTTGCGCCTCTAGCATGAGTATTGTCAGCTGACTAAACAGCAAATATTTTGTTACTCTTTTTTATGAGTTTCCTGAAACCAAAATGAAGAGATTTTACCCAACAGAACAGGATTTCTTACAATGTTTGATCTGACTCGGTTTGGGAATACAATTACTGAACAGTGCAAAATGCAATATAAGCAGCCAAAAGTCTCCGAAATTCACTTGGTCCCCGAAATACAGCACTGAGTGTAAAAGAACCTAACCCTAGCTGGGGTTTCAAATGAGCAGCTCTGCAATCTGTCTTAAGCCCTCCAGTCATCAGAATTGAAGTGTTCCTCAAACCGTAAAATGAGTCTAAAGCAATCAAAACCATTGATAAAAGCTCTTGGAAATTGTCTTCAATCAGCTGAAAACCGCTGTTAAAATGGTATTTAAATGAGCATTCATTTTAGGCCAGTGTATGGTTAGGGTTACAATAATGATTAAATGTTGACTGCAGTTATACTTCTAGTTGCACTTTAAAAATTAAATTAAACTTAATTAAGAGTTAACCCAACAGAAAAGGTTTTCTTAAACTTTTGATCCACGTTGGTTGTTGAATACAATTACTTAATTGATTAAATATACAATATAAGTTGCCAAAACTAGCCAAAAACTAATCACAAGATAAGAGGAAATGATCACTCGGCCTAAAAGTGATAATTGATATGGAGCGGTGTATTTTGTGTTAGTAGTTTAAAATGCATTGATCATTGTAATTTCATTTCTCATTTTGTTTCTTTATTCTGTGGCAGGGTAGCCTAGTGTTAGATAGCTAAAGAATAAAGTAAATTACTTACCATAGTAATCTTAATGTATAAAACACAATCTTCTGTTGTCAAACCTCATGTGAGGGTATCTTTGGGTTCAAGATCTCTTTGATCTTTCTTATCTTCAAAACCACTGTCTGTCAGTGACACAACTTGTTTCCCTCCTTTTAATTACAGGGATTGTTTAAAAATAACATCAGGCCTATTGATTTAAACTCTGCTCGTGATGAGCACTTTACACGTGTGTTTGCAGTTATTAATCTTTAAAGAGGCTTTTCTTTGAGTAAGAGAGGAGTGTTTGCCTACGGGGAGCAGATGCCCAGGAAAGAAAGATCCAGACCTCAGTCGCAGGTTTCTACACTGCTGCTGTAGTGTGATTTTTAATGAATCTGTTTTTTTCCTCTTTTTTTTGTGAATTGTAACATTGACAGCAATTCTGTTCTGTTGAGCCTGTTTAGAAAACTTTTAAAATACATTGTTGGGGTTTTCTAATTCTACTCCTGCCAGAAATGTGAAAAATTTTCATGATTTATTGTGTTCAATAAACTGAAAGCGTACCTGTGGATTTACTCAACTCGCACCATTATGTTAAAAGCCAGTAGGTCTATAAACAATTGAGATATAAGCATGTATTGGGCTTAATTAAATCTTTGCCAGGGCATAACAAAAGCCTGTCTTGTGCGAACTGTCTGCAAAGTTGTTCCTTTATTTTTTTAGAGTATTCACAGTAGCGGATGAACTCCTGTAGCACCTTTAATCTGTTCTCTGGATTGCATCGTAAAACAGAGCGTTTGCATAAATCTCCTGAGTCACTGGTGTGGGACTTGTACTGGAATGTGGAGAGGGGAGTGGGGGAGAGGCTAGCGTTCACTGTGATTAAACAGGCCAGCCTTCTGTGAACCTTCCTTCCCATTTCAGTCTGACAAGGCCCGGGGTCAAGTGGAATCGCTTTGTTTTGGCATTTCCCTTTGTGAACTTATGCCTGGTATCCCAGCTTCTGTCCGTTTTTCTGATCAGTTGTTACAGTTAAGGTACTAATTAAGATGTGCCACTCTGGTGGTCCTTTTAAGATGGTTCAGAAGAAAATCGGTGGCAGGAAGCTGACAGCAGTACGGTGAGGGGCACGTTTAATCCGCTCATGTCTCTGTCAGTTCCAGAAACATTCAAGGGAGTAAGAGTCATACCTCATAATAAAATAAACCTGTGGAAAAGTACTACCTAAACCCCTCTTTCTGAAAGAATGAAGTATCATAGTTGTACTTCCCACCCAGACTTTATTTTTATGCAAAAAAAAACTCTTTGAAATGTACATTTTACTTTAAACTTTACATATGTTCACTTATAGCTAATTTTATTCTTGGTCACTGTGGCATTGTGCCGTTTGCAGTTCTTGACAGATGTTTTATATACAATTCACAAGTGTTTACCAATTTTTTTTCCATTGAGAATTGTTTACACAACAGCTGAAGTGATTCATATTGGACTGTGGCAGATAATTTTCTTGATTTTTATGAATGTTTATTATAAATTCCTACAAGAACAATGAGTTTGTAAGACTTATAAACAAATATCTGAAACATGTACATTAACAGGTCTTACTAACCATTTTAAATGCAGTTCATTATGAATGAGCTTAATGTTGAGATTACACCTTCTCTCGAGTAATCCTTCATTCAGAGAAATGTTTTAGACTGGAATTAAATAGCATTAATACAGTATTGATACAGTAAAACCATTTGTTACGTTCTGAGTTCCATGATACAAACTGAACAGCTCTTTAATCTTATGAACCTGTAAATGACCACTCTTGTAAAGGAACGAGGTGAGGACTCTGTAGAGGAAAGGGCTTGAGGGACTATGCCATGTGTTTTTGTTTTGGACTTTGTGTGATGTGCATCTTATGGAAGGTTAATATTTAATTTTAAGGTGCTGAAAGTGTGTGTGTGTGTGTCATATTTACAACGAGACCCAGTTGTACACATGAAATGTTAATTTATATGTATGGAATTGGTAGCAGAGTATATTTTTGAGAAATTTCTTTTTTTTAGAAAGATCAGAAGCTCAAAAATGCTCAGAGGCATCTCCAAAGTATTCTTGAAATGTGTGTTTGCGGTCATTTAATAACAATCTCGTTCGAATCGGATTACTTTTCTGAAGTTTTTAACAGCATTTAGGAATGCAGAGCTGTGCTGTTTGCCAAGTCTTTTTGTTCATCTCTTTCTAGACCCCGCACACACACACACACACACACGTGTGTACACTCACACAGCAATGCTCTGCCAGACACACACTATTGATTTGTCAAACTGTGCCCAGTCAGGCAGTGAATCTGTTTTGTGTGGCTGTACAGTGTCCATGGTTCCTCTTGCTGGGCTTTCCCTGGCTCAGAGAGCCACTGGGTCACAGCTGTAACATTATATTGAATGCATACCTCTTACTCATCTATAGTAACAGGGCTTCCTTTCTCTCAGAAGAGCTGAAAGACTCGAGCCATCCCCTGTGCTGAATAAAGCTGTTTACGATCTGCACGCAGTCCTGTGTTTGTTAGGCTAAGCTTGAACTGTTCTCTGCTAAGGCAGAAACGTGCATCTTTGTATATTATTTTTTGAGTTGTTAAATGAAGGAAAAGGAGGAGTGCCTTTTGAATGCACTTTCATGAAACTACCTGAAGGCAGGTGAGACCACATTTGGTCAGTTTTTGTATACTAGAAGTGTACTGTTTTAAAAGGCTGTCATTAAAACCCTAGTGAATCCAGGAGTACATTCTTGATAGACAAAAAAAAAGAATGAACTAACATACTTGGTCAGCAATCTGTTTTCTCAGGAACACAAGTTACTTTAAAATAGGGCTCACAAGGAGGCAAATCAAAAGTTCGAGTCCTGTTTCTTGTCCATTTTGTTTCAGCTGCAATGAGACTTGCCCTGTTGAGACATTTTTGGCATAGAGTCAAAGCTGATTCCTCTCCCTCCCCACCAAAGAGCTCTGATTCACAACTGGATTCAGACATCAGGAAAGTTGAGAGCACAGAGAACTATAAAACTTTTTTTTTTGTAATATACGAAAAGGCTTGGTTTGGACTAGATCGTGACATTCAACTGCAGCTCTGTTGAAGCCAGGAGAAGTTGGAAACGTGTGCGTATGACTGCGTGTCGGTGTGTGTGTGTGTCTGTGTGGGAAATGATTACATCAGCTTGAGCAAGGCCTGTGATTGGTTAGGGGAGTGTGGTTTGATTCACTACCTAAAAGCCTGTGCTTGTAACCCTTTGTGAGTAGATCAGTGGAAGTTGTCTGCCTTGATAGAAACAGTGCCATCTGCTTGCTCTATTCTGCAGCTATGCTAGGCAGGGTATAGACTACGTGACAGGTAGAGTATAGTAATCCATTGATACTGTACGGTTGTGCAGCGTCTTTGCTAGCAAGAGTTTGAAGGCAGCAGAGAAACAGCTCTCTGTAGAGAAAAGATTAATTTTAAAATGCCTTCGTGTTCCCCTGACTGCTGCCTATTACGGGCTACAGAGGTAAGGTTTTCCTCATTTTAATTTGTCGTCTTTCTGATCTTTAAAAGAAATGTTGTATCCAGTACGAAAAGGAGTGAGGTAGAGGAAGATAGCTTTGGAAATGTTTAGTGTCTTTTGGGGAATTTATGTGGAAACTGAGCACATGAGTGAGTCATGAGAAATGATTTTTGGGGGATTCTAAAGGAAGTTGAAGTCTCTGCCAAGAGGACGTCGAGGTGGAAGAGATTTTTTTTTAAATTAAAATTTTTAAGCTTCGGTTTCTATGGACTGGGTTTCGGTGTGGGGGAGGGGAACAGGTGGTCTTAAGAGGACTTTGGAATCTGACCTGTACTGTTTGAACTTGAAACGCGACTGAGAGCTCTATACTTAAAACCAGGATTTTATTTGGCAAATCAGAGGAAGTTTTAAAAGCCACATTGAGTCCCTTTGCATATGTTAAGTCTTCCTATAGCTAAAGTAAGAGCAGCAATAATCCATCACTTTTAGTGAATTTTTGTCTTGGATGTCCACATTTTTATGCGTAGCTGTTTTCTGATTTTTTTCTGTCTTTCTACTGTTCCTTATGTTATGTCATCAAATGGCTTTGTCTGTTACAGATCGTTAAAATTTTTAGTGAGGATGGGACAGGCAAAGTAGTGGAGATACCAGCAGACATGACGGCTAGAGACCTCTGCCAGCTGTTGGTGTACAAGAGCCATTGTTTGGATGACAACAGTTGGTCCCTTGTCGAGCACCACCCTCATCTCGGACTAGGTAAGTGGCAGCAGGATACAGCAACCGTTTTTTCAAGAATATAGAAGCTGGGAATTTCTGTTCCTTTGGGAATGTGTTGATGCATACTTCGATTCCTCTGCACTTGGGTGAATTTTTTTTCAAATCATGCAGTGCTGAAAGACTTTTATGAGGAAAGTAAAAACTGCTCTGCACTGGCTTTCTCCACAAGAGATTGGATGCTAAGCCTTGTGGGTGACTTGTTTTGTGGTGTTACCTGTGGTTATTGAGAGTTACAAGAGCACTAGGTATCAAGCCAAGGGATGGTGTGGAATTCCTGCATCTGGCAAAAAAGCTTATGGATGATTGAAAGTGGATGTTATACCTTTTAAGATCCTTCCAAGCATGGACAGAAGTCTAAGCCAACGAACTGAACAAGGTGGGAGCTGGCAAGACCGTCTTGGAGCTGTGAGGTCTGCCTGGTGGTCTCAGTAAAATGGGAGATGGCTCATTTCATCCTACAGCGTATAGGGCAGTGTAGTTTTGCATTTTATTATTAATCTGCTGGTTGAGTATTAATGCTGGAGATTTACTTGGATGCACTGCAGTCCTGTACATTCCAGGAACTCTGACTTGTTGGCGGCGCTTCATCTCTGGAATTAACAGTTAATCCCCCCCAGCAATCAATTAAGACATGTGGATCTCCTAGTTTCGTTCGGCTTATGGCAAGCATCAGCGAGTCACACACTCTGCTCCGTGATGAACTGAGTGAGAAGTTGCGCTGGGGAGCGTACGGGCTTCCCAGCACCGGCAGGAATCCGCTTGTGTTGCCACTGGTGCAGCTTGGCAAAGGACCTCATTTTAGTGTTGCAGCTCGTGGGACAGAAAACAAACAAGGCAGTAAAAATGTTGTAGGTTTCTGGCCTTATAGAAATGAGCCACTGGTCACGCAGGGGTTGAGCTGCGAGGTGCAGAGCAGGGTGGTGTAAACGTGCCTGGAGCACAGTGTCCAGCCTGCTTCACACTCATGCGGCCAGAAAACCTGAAAGTTCTGCCTCCCCTGTAGCACTCAGATATTATCACAGTGGGCCCCTGCGCAGTATACATTTTAATAAGACCCAAACAACAGCGGAAAGGCGTGTTGATTTCGACTGTATTTCAATATGTCATCCAGCAGTACAAAACGGAGCTCTGGATTTTTCATACTAGTATCGGAGAGCACTAGTATGATCGCCATTTGTCACCGGTGACTTTTGGATGGCAAAATAACATTTTGTAATGGAGGAGGAATACAGCACTGCAGATGAGCTTATTGGAAAGCTGGTAGAGTAAGGCCTGTATTTTCTTGTGGGGGAGGGTGAGTGATCGGTTCGGTGCACTCAGCTGTTTCAAGGCATGCATTTTCATGCTCATAAAGAAATGAACTAAGTGACTCAACTAGTTAAGGCTAAGTCTATGTAAGCTTTCTGTAATTGTCTGGGATTCTTTATGAATGCTTTTCAGCAGTAGCTAGGCACCGTCACAGAAATGAAATAGACAGGAGTGCAGATCTAGGGCTCGTGTTGCATAGCAAATAATATAGACGACGTGGATTTTTTTGAAGATTCCATGCTGTAACTATAGTAACAGCTTCACTTTCTGTAGGTTGAATATTTCTTTAGCCGCTGGCATTTCCAGGAAAATGTCAGCACAAAAAAAAAGTTAATGAGCACAAAAAGGTAAAAGATACACCATATATGTATAATCATACAAATTAAATAAAGGCAATTAAAGGCGCACCCACCTAAAGCAAAGGTGTGTCTTATGGTGTTAGCTACCTGATATGCGAGCTGCCTGACCTGCTGTTTTACAAGCTCTTTGCAAGCCTGAAATTAAAATAAGTATTTCAGTTCTGAGGTAAGGTAGATAAAAATAATTAATCTGATGTCATATTTTCTCTTTTTGTTAAACATAGTATACATTTTTAAAGATTTGGTTGCTTAGTCTGATTGTTAAATATATAGTTAAATGGTTGCCCTAAAGTGACCTTATTTTTATTTAATCAGCCTGTTGCAGACTCTTGCATAATGCAGTCAAGCTAAGAAATGACATCATCTTTAAAAAATTTCTAGGTCCTATTTTTGTCCCGCCGGTAGTTTTCTTAATTCTGTTCACACAAAGTACCTATGTGCTAGAACAAGACATGACACTCTTTTCCATTAGGATAATTAAACCTTGAAGACTACAGTTGTATTGGAAATTGTTGAAGTAATTGGAAAATGTTATCGTAACACCTTTTATAGAATAATTGCAATTCCATGTTTTGTTGGTTTGTGGCCAAAATAATTTGAATGGATTGCCACAGTGCAGTCTTGGAAAATGTCAGAGGCCTAGGATTTGTGCATGTGGTAAACAGTGACATTTTCAGACCAGTCTCAGACACAGAGAGGAATTTTTAAAATGCAGTTAATGACATGTAAGATGCTCTTATCTTCTGAGGTAGCCTTGACCAAATCTTTTGCAATGCCCTTGTTTAAAGATGAGAAAACTTTATTGGGCGCAGTCATGCATACATAATTTTTGTTACTTGTGCAAATGAACAATGTAATTTTCAAAACATTTTGTTCATGAATAACGCATGATCTTGTTGGGGTTTTTAAATTAATCATAAAAGAATAAACATAAAACTCCATAAGAAGTCAACCTATGGAAAAGTGTTTTGAAGATTAATAAAAAGTATTGCAGTTTAACATTTTTGAAGAACTTGAAACGTTTATAATGTTTGAAACAGTTTCTCCACTCTTTGCTTTTAAATATAAAGGTTGGGTACCGTGTGACTATGTAAGTAAATATTGTAATATTCCAAATTGGGTCTAAATTGGCGTAATTAAAATGGCATTGAAGGTATATATCTATTATCTATTACACAACCAATCTTCAGGACATTTAGTCTTGCAACATTTATTTTTGTCAGATAAACCAGCGTGTGGGTTGCCTGCATTTGTGTCAGCCCCCTGAAGAGTTTTGAGACTAAGGTTCTACAGGGTAGGCTAAAGCTATTAGTTTGAGAAATGTTGATTACATCTTCAAAAAGCACTCTCTCATCCCACAGGGCTAAGGTGGAGTCCCATTTCAGCATTGTTTAGAAGATTACAGTGTATGTTATCTCAATTTGTATTGGTATTGATTAGATCTTCAACTGTTGCTGTTTTCTCAGAGGCAGTGTCATCACAGAGGCTTGTGAAATATGAGCAGACAGTCAAATCTCAGGACAGTCGGCTCTTGTCCACTCCTTAGGATATGGATCCTACCGTTCCATTTTGCAAAGTACAGACCAAGTACCTTTGTGGTTATCATATTGTAATTACATAGTTGATGTCAAATCAGTGATTCATAAAAACATCAGCAGGGTTAAGAGCTGTCAAACAGAACTGACTTGTCAATTGCAAACATCATTTTACTCGCAACAGTAGAGGCAGTCTAGTTGGGACAAGATGCGTACGGACTTAATGGGAGAATACGTAAGGGAGTGAGTAACTGCTCAGTGAATGACAGGACTTGAGTCTTGTACAGCCATAGGGTAATAATTCTAGAAAGATTAACCTCTAGAATTAGTTTACCATAAGGGGTTTTATAGTGCAGGCATATACAATGCCTTGCATTCAGTACTCACTCCACAATGAGCAGCTGGGTAAGAGGAAACGGGTTAGGGACACCACCATGAGGCCACAGAGTTCTGATGAGCTCGAGATGGCAGAGGAAGGAGAAATCGACAATAACCCTCCGCAAAGCTGTCAGTGGAGGGGAAACCCATCCCAAGTCTTGCCTTGAGCATGCTTCAGGGCACTTGGGTGATCCTGCAGAAATGTAAGAACAATCGTTGTGGTCAGAGACGATGGGAACATTTTAGTCTCAGTGCAAAGTCAGCACGACCCCTGCTGTTGAACACGATGGTGTCTGCATTACGTTGTAGGTCTGCTTTTTATCAGCAGGGACTGTTCAGCTTGTCAAGACTGATGGGAACATGTATAGAGCAATGTACAGTTAAGTGTGAGGAAAGGCTGCTTCAGACCAAAAACTAAAACCTGGACACAAATTCACAACTACAGCAGAGTGTCTTAAGAATATAAAAGTGGAAGTCCTGACTTGCATCCTATTGTGAGTCTTTGGACTGTCTTGAAAACTGCTGTCCATAAGTGATCTCCAAGCAACTTGATAGAGCTTGTGTAAATCGGGCAGAAGAATGAGCAGAAATTGAACCCAGCCAGTGTACAAAGTTGGTACTCAAAACGTAATGCAACTGTAATTGCTACCAAAGTTGTTTCTTCAAATATTGGAATCACAGAGCTTTTGGAATACTTATGTAATCAGTTTTCTTTTTTTCATTACTTTTTGCTGACATGGGACAGCATGTGGAAGTACCAAAGATTGTAGGAAGAGTCTGAATACTTTTACAAGGCTCTGTATACGTGTGGGTTCTCCTTGCAGTTACTCTGTGTGAACCCTTTTTTACACAGCATAGGTTTTCTGTCCCACAGGCCAGTCTTTCGCTTCCTTCCCTCTTTCCAACATTTATTTACAAGTTTAACTTCGTGGTGGGAGGTCAAACATGTTGCTGTAGTACAGGGTCACTTAACTGAGACATTTGGTTTCTGTGTTTAGAAGAAGGGAAATGTAGAGAGAATGTATATATTTGAGCAATTAGCAGTGGAAATGTGGAGTAGTTCTTTAGATTGTTTGCATGTTACTGATTTCTGCTTGTTTGAGTCTAGTAATTTTCTTGAGCTTTTAATTGCACTTTACTTTTTCTTCAATTCCTGTTTAAGTTCAGTGTTCATTATTGAGTGATTAAGAACACCTCCTAGTCGCTTGTAATACTGATCGTTCTTTGCTATTTTGTTCAGTATGATGCAATGAATGGAAATTGTAATTTTCTGTATTCAATTGATTTATATATGCAATATTAACTTTTATTTTGATTTCCTTCATTCAAAAAAGATGTTGTTTGACTTTCTTATCATATTTTTATCATATTCATATCATATCTGATCATATTTTTAAATTGTTTTGAAATATAATTTCATAAATAAAAAAGTAGCATTTATTGTTTGGCATTCTGTTAGTTCTAACAGTGCGTTTCCTTTCCAATAGAGAGGTGCTTGGAGGACCATGAACTTGTGGCTCAAGTTCAAACATCAATGACAAGTGAGAGTAAATTTCTCTTCAGGAAGAACTATGCCAAATATGAATTTTTTAAAAATCCTCTGGTGAGTTTCTACATTCAATTTTCTACATATTGAAGAAATTTATATTGAGTTTTTATGCAGCCTTTGTTACAGCTCACCTACATTGTGTGAGACGGGTGCTATTGTTTGGGTGAGGTGAACTTCCTGAGCAGCGTGAGAAATGCTTTCCTTCTTGTTGAGTCTTCATTACTCCACTGTCTGCCTGGAACAGACCTCATCTCAGGTTGACTTACTTCTGCCTCAGACAGTGAGGATACTGCATTATGCTCGCTGTTAGAACAGGTGGATCAAAAGGCCCTAAAGAAGGACAGGAATATTTTAAATTCAGCGGTGACTTGAGAAGATAATGTTTCAGTAGTAACAAATCTTTTTAAAGGGCAGTATTACATATAGAATATACAACGCCAGCATGCTGAAAGCCTTCTAAAGGCTCATTTGTGTTCCTTCTTTGAATAAAGGTCATGCAAGATCTGTTTATAAAGTATTATATAATTTTCTTGATAAATGCTTAATCAGAGTTTGCGATGTGAATGTCTTAAGTTGATGAATGAAACTGCCCAGTCATTTCACTGAAGCCGATATGCTGACTTATTTCAGCAAACTGCTGGAAGAGTTAAGTGAGATGCTGCGAACTACCAGACTAGCTAAATTGGTCCAATGGCAGCCTCTTATTCTTAATCCTTTTGTGTCTTTTCTGCAACAGAATTTCTTCCCAGAGCAGATGGTCGCGTGGTGCCAGGAAACCAATGGTACCATTCCTCAGTCACAGCTCTTGCAGGTAAGATCCGTGATAGCACTGTGACAGGCTGTTTGGACAGCTTCCTGTTGTTTGTCTTGTTTAGGAACCGGAAATTTAATGACCGATGCATATGCGACGAAAGTACTCAATTTCACAAGCTTCATTGAACACGGCACTGTGCAGGATCAGCAGAGATTCCAGATTCAGAAAGTCTTTTACAATGTTTTTTATACAGGGGCTTTATTACTCTGAGGTTTTGGTTGGTCCAACTCAAAATGTGAAAGCCTGTTGTGACAGAACTTGCATTTACTGTATGTAGCAGGAAAGGTGTCTATCTCGTAGCGCATTAGTCTGATTTATCCGACTATTTATTAACAGTGATTTATTAACAGTGCACCCGTTATTTCTATGATGGCCTTTATAAAATAATGCCTGCAGCTTGTGAGTTAGTTTGCTAGAGCCTTCACATTTAACTGGAACTTAGAATTAAACTGAGATGCCACAAATATTTTAATTCACAAATAGTGTCCTTTTTTCTCTCTTCAGAACTTTTTAAGTCCTAGCAGCTGTCCCGAGATTCAGGGGTTTTTGTATGTGAAGGAGATGGGAAGGAAGTCTTGGAAGAAGCTGTATGTGTTTTTGAGACGATCGGGCCTTTACTGCTCAACAAAAGGAACATCCAAGGTAAGGAATTAAAAAGGCATCTTTTGACCTTTCTGTTTAAAATTGTTACTGAGCAAAGTATTTTTGATCATTCTATTGCATTTTTTCTTTTCCAAAATCTCCCACAAAATGCCCACAAAGTACAAGAGCTTTACTTTACTTAGAGAAGTACAGTAATATGAAATGTGTGTGGAGCAGTCCCATGCTGGGGTGGTGTGATTTGATTTGCAATAAAAATAACCTAATTCTGTTCCTGAAATTATTACGGTGGCATTCTTGCCAGTATTCACTTACACTATACATCAGCAAATTGCTTATTCTGTGAAGTCTGCTTAATCCGTCACTGATGGATTGTCATTGTTCATGGTATTATGGCCCATCACTCAGGGTTATCTTTTTCTGTTCTTGCAATAAAATTACATGAACTATTAATTGATTTCTTGTAGGAGCCAAGGCATTTACAGTTCCTAGCAGACCTTGAGGACAGCAATATATTCTCAGTTATAGCAGGCAAGAAGCTGTATAATGCACCAACAGACTATGAATTCTGTATAAAGGTATGGTCATGTTTTACTACTAGAGTTAAACGAATGCGTCTGGCACTTTTCTTCAGTTGTATTAGATGATTCCATTACTTCAGCCTTTTTGTATGGTCTATGTGCCATGTTAAAGAAAATAGTCCACTTTTTTATCTTATTTTTCAGTAGCTTGTCATTATTTTCTGGGTCTTATAGGTAGAAGGAAGTCAATGACTTTTCATATCAAGAGATTTGAATTAGAGATGCAAGTGTTAATATGTATTCTCCTCTAGATGGTCTTTGGCTAATGGCAGTAATTGGATTAGTAACATTGTACTTGGGATGTCTGATGGATTACATGTTTTTTAGTAGCTGCTCTGTTCTGGAAATGTGGAAGTCAAAATGTATAGAATTGTATAGAATAAATGTATAGAAATTTATTTTCCCTTCTTGCCAAAGTCATCATCCCAAATGAGCTGAAAGGTTTTGGCTGCTGTAGTTCAGAGACCTGCACTCTCGGTGCTCATTGTAAACCAGACTCATCATCTGACTCCCATCCTCAGTGAAGAACATATCACAGCCACTGTAGCTCCCATGAGCACCTTCATATACAATATTAAAGTTTTGAACATCTAATGCAACCATTTAGTGATGTTTGGAATACTTTCCTGTTCTATTAATTTAATTATGTAATGTGTTGTCTGGTCAGCCCAATAAGGTGAGAAATGAATCGAAGGAGCTAAGAATGTTGTGTGCTGAAGATGAGCACAGCAGGAGCTGCTGGCTGACTGCCTTCCGACTCTTTAAGGTACAGCACTAATGGCATCTTCAACAAAATGAGCTATTCACGGTTCTGCAGTTGTAGGGATTTAGTTCTGAAGTATTGAGAAAAGAAAAGGTAAAGGCATACTTGAGTAACATCCTTTAATGTCCTTACGCAGTCCTTTCAGTATAGAAGGTCGCTGCAGTTTTCCTCATGATGAAGCTGAGCATTCACAACTAAAGGCTATAATAAAGTTAATGATTGCTAAGGCGTTCTGCTGTCATGATGAGAGAAGCTGCTCTGAGTTTTTGTAATATCAGTGATCATGTTATACTCCGTTTTGCTGGCTACCCTCCTGTAAACTTAATTGGTATGTTGAATCGTTACCTTTGTACAGAGGGTTTACTTGCATACTGTGTCCCGAGTATATGGTGGTGAAGTTTATTTTTGTAACTACTAAAATATGAATGTGAGACAAAAAGCTCTTTGCCCTTGATAAATAGATTTCTTGGATACTGGTAGTTACATTTTAATAGGTCACAGAAAATCCCTCTTCAGTGAAAACATTTGTCTGATGTAAATTAAGAATTTCCAGAATTAGTTTTTTGAGATATTGCTTTTGATTTCCTTCACAGTATGGAATTTTGCTTTATCAGAACTATAAGATACCCCAACAGAGGAAAACTTTACTTTCACACTTTTCAACACCAGTGGTAAGTTTTTGTACTTCAGTCCTATGTTTGTGTATTATGAAGCAAAGTTTTGGTAACTGTTTACTTACATAAGTATAGCCCAGCCATTGTGTTAAAGGCAGCAGAAATGGTTTCACTTTATATGACTCTCAGCAAGAATTGGTAGCTGTTAAAGTATAGTGCATTCAGTGTATTAAATGACCACACCTGAAGAAGGCTCCCTGGCCGAAATGTTTTCTTTCTTCTTTTTTAGCATGGAATAAACCTATTACTTGTTCATTTTTAAATGACTATACATTGTTCAATGGATATATTATATAGTCTATGTACAGTGCTTCAAAACCATGTTACTAAAAATGCGTTATTGGTGTTTGACATTGGATAGTAAACATGCAATTAAATAGTACATACAGTACATTAACTGTACGGAAGGCTTCATTGAAAACAAAACTTTGGTGTAAAAGTCAGTTTGCTTCTGGTTTTTCTAGTACACATTCCTTGTTGTATCGCTGTACTGCCGAGTTACAATAAGTCACGTCTGTAGTGCTGGTACAGAGCTGCTGAGTGAATGGCTCTTCTTTTTTTTTACCTTCAGTACTGTGTGGTGGGAGCAGCTGAGTAAATAAAGAGCGGTTATACCTGATGACAGAGCACCTTTCTGTACTGGTTGTGCAAAATGCCTGTCACTAGTCAAGAATGAAAGCAGATTTGGGAAATGCTAGTTGTGTATTTAAAATGGGATTCTTTTCACTGATGTGCCATTATTCACCGTGAAACCTGACAGAGGAAAGTTTAAAACTGTACCTCTTTAAAGCTGAATATCTTTGCAATTGTTGCAAGCGAACCCGAACAATGTTCCATGTCACATGCAATGCATGGTTAGGAATAAGAATCATGCTTAAGCTTTGTTTGAAAACCCAAGCCTGTATATGCGCGTTCGCTCTTTTCTTTTGTAGAGGAGCGTCTCGGAAAACTCTCTGGTAGCCATGGATTTCTCAGGAAGAATAGGAAGGGTGATAGACAACCCCGTTGAAGCCCAGAGTGCGGCTATGGAGGAGGGCCACGCCTGGAGGGTAAGAGCTGCCAACCGGGCTGGATCTCTGCTTTGTGCACCCGGGTCTGCGTTTGATCGCTCGGGCAGGAAAGGTGCACACGTCTGAGTTGTGTGCCTGTTACAGGTCAGGAGGTGCTTATGCCACCCATCCTTCTTCATCTTCCAGTGCCAAGGTGTCTAGTAATGTGTGACAAGAGCATTGTCTCAGGATTACAGTGGTGATGAGTTATGTTGAGCCTATTATTTGCTTTGGATTTCTTTGTACATTGTAGGAAGGTGCTGTAGAACACTGGTGTTTCTCAGTTTGTGCGGAGAAGCTTACTTTTTAATCACTCAATAAATACTTGGTTTCACATTTTAAAAAAATTATTTTCAATGCTGTGTATGAAGTTGTCTGAAAGCCTGTTCACTGTTAATGTATAGTTGTCAATCTCACCTTAGTGGATTTCACTGTTGATATTACTTTACTGATTTCAAAAAGAGAAAAGCAATTCCCAGCACCTTATCTCTGCAAAAACAACTTTCAGCAAGAAGGACTAAAGTTTTTTTTTTCTCTAACTAAAGAATGTTTTGTAGGTGAGACACTCACAAGGTTGACACTCACTCACTATGACAAAACTGCTGATAACATGTTGTGCACAAACCCAGGTGAACAAGCTTTGTTTGCTTTTGCAGAAACGAAGCCAGCGAATGAACATCCTGGGGAGTCCTAGTCCTCTCCATTCTTCTTCCCTCAGCACAGGTGATTTTAACCAGGACGTTTCAATGGTTTGCTTGTTCTGTGCTTTCACAAATGTGATTCACTTGTAAACTGTGTAAGGAGGATAGCTATTGTGAGTATGGCTTGCAGAACACACGCCTGTGAACATGGAGATTCAGACATTGTAATGGGTCTCAGCTCTGTGTTTTATCAAAGTACACACTTGTCATTTAAGGGACACTGAGACACACTGTAGCTGCAGAGAAAAAAATTCAGAACAGGTAAACGCATATCAACGAACCTTTAAATAGCAGGATTTGTTTTAATGAAATGTTTTTGCTTCCTTTCAGTCATTCACAAAACACAGCTGTGGTTTCATGGGCGAATCACCCGGGAAGAGTCCCATAAAATGATAATTCAACAAGGGCAAGTTGATGGGTAAGACTTCACAAACAGCAAACCACCCAGCCTAAAGAAGAAAGGACTTTCGTCACTTTTAATGTTTACTCATCACTTTGTATCTCTGTTCCAGGTTATTCCTTCTGAGAGATAGTCAGAGCAATCCAAAGGCATTTGTTCTCACATTGTGCCATCATCAGAAAATAAAGCATTTCCAGATCTTGCCTGTGAGTATTGCTTCATCATCTCTTCATCTGTGATGATGTCAAAGACCTCTGTACCCTCTGTCAAGAGTAGCTTAACCGATTTAATAAATATTTGTCAAACAACATTTTAGGTCACAATGAAAACAATTTTCCCCTTTTTTGCAATTTCTGTTAAGCACATAAGTAAATGTACTATATGCAGTTTTAGTCTCTCTAAATGTGAAGATGGAGAAAAAAGACATTTTAGATTTAAGACCATGTACTTTTTCCCCTTTTCTTTAATTTCCTGAATCTGATCTTCAAGAGATGTCATGAAGTGTTCTCCTCAGAGCTGCATTATGTAAACTATTACACAGTCCCATTTTAGAGAAGCTAGAAGAAATCTGTAATCCTAAAATCATTAAATCAATTGCAAAGTTTGGTTTAACATTTGCAGTTAGGCTTTGTGCACTGTTAACAAGAGGAAAGATTTGTATATACAGTGCAGCCTTGTTGTCTGACCTTCGTGTTTTAATTTAAACTTTATTCTCTCTTATAACCCATCTGTCTCCAGTGTGAAGAAGATGGACAGACGTTCTTTACCCTTGATGACGGAAATACCAAATTCACTGACTTAATCCAGCTCGTGGAATTTTACCAGCTGAACAGAGGAGTCCTGCCCTGCAAGCTGAAGCACCCCTGCACAATAGTGGCCTTATGACCTTGAACTCAATTTTGCCTAAAAACTGGATTTTTTGTGTAATATGTCGCTGATGGCTTTGGCTCAGCAGCTAATCTGAGCTCTTCGGCATTCTGTGATTGAAAAGCCGAGACGGATGTGATTAAGAAAAAGACGGTTTTAAGAACAATTCTTCATTATTTGCCAACAATCCCTGATTTACTGGCAAACAGCACAGTTGAATGATCGCAATTTGAAAGTATATCTAAAGACACGAGAGCCTGAGTGTCTTTCACATGCTTTTTTTAAGGCTACATTTTTGTGTACAATCAACTGGAAACGATTATCAGGCTTGGCCACTTTAAAAAAAAAAATGAAGGTAATTGGTTTGGAGAGAACTCTTTTCCCTGGAATATTCTTGACAACCTAGATAAAGCTGATTGTTTACTAAGTGACTTTTTTTAGTATTTTATTTTATTTTTGCACTCCTGAACTGAAAACAACCTTTACCATGAACTGACATGGCATTGCAAATGCAACATTATTATTTTCTCTAAACCGAAATCTTCCGTGAGAAATCCTTCTGAGATAATTGGATTATAAAAGAGCTGACCATGGAAAAAGTCACAGCTGAGACTAATCTCTGGGACATTTTTTTCCAAACACCTATTACCATGTAGCCATCTTAAGAATTGTTCCCTAAAGCAACTGGAGTCACAAGACGGAGCTCGAGAAAAACAAGGAATCTATAAATGCCATATAAAACAGTTTGCAGGATTTTCTTTTCTCATGCAACTCAAGGAGTACAACATTTATGCATTTGGGAGGATTGCTTGGCATCAGTTTGTAGGCTGTTTTGCAGGTCATTTCATAACCTTTTGTGTTTTTCGTATGGAATATTTATCACCGCAGTTTGCTTGACATTTTATATCCTATATGCTGTTTCCTTTGAGCAAAGTAAGGATCATCGATCAATTTCAGCATCATTCCTTGATTTTCCCAACGCAAATGCAGGACAGTGGTCAGCACGTTCTAAAACCTGCTGACACTGCGGTACAAGACAGGACATTTTGTAGTTTTTTTCACATGACATAGAAAATGTATTTTAGGATGGAGAAGTTTTCAATAGATATGCATTTTGACTTATCTGTTTTGCAGCTTAATTTTATAACCACTGATTAATGGCAGCTTCTTTAACAAAGCTGCATTAATTGGATTTGCAAACTGTCATTGTATTGCAGTCATCTGCCTGTCAGTATGGTGTAACTGGAAATCTTAGTCTTTCTGCTGCAAAATTCAGTCTTGACTTGATTGAATTGTGAGTGTATTATTCCCTTACTATATTTTGAATTAAGAGTGCACTGTGAAGCCCCAGTTTGTTTTTTCAGCCTTACCTATTGAACGAGTAGGAATCTTCAAAGCTTTATATTATCCTTTTTACATAAAGGAAAACATTTAGACTTTTTATAGGTCTAAGCATGATATACAATAGAAGACTTGGGAAATAGCCACACAAAACAACTCCAAATATTTCATTTAAGCTCAATACACATTATATTTATTTTTTAAGAATTAAAAAGACTTGAATTTGCTCTTTCAGTATCAGGGCTGTCGATACCACCATAGCATCACTGGTTTTCCAAAAATATGTTGAAGCTTGTGTTTAAAGTTGACTTGAATGTTTGGAAATTAGGAAGCATTTTTCTGTTTGAAATGACATGCTGATTAATGTTGTAGTTAAGTAACAGTTATGCAGGTTTAAGTATTTTCTGTGTGTAAGGAAACCATGGAAATTGTCCATTTTTGTTATCCACATCCCTTGAACAGCTATTATATATTCTACAGCTCTTAAACACTTTCAAAAGGTTACAATACAGGTTTTTCAAAAGTTATTTTCTTCTCTTCGTCAATCTCATTTAGTAAACATCCAATATAGAAAATAGTATAACCGTTTTTTCTTGTGTTATCCTGCTGTTTTTCGGTTTTCTAGAAGTAGGAAATAAACTCCTCCCAGAATACTCGCTTGAACAGCGTGGTGCCACTCTGACGTTTCTTCGACTTATTTTTCATCTGCCTGAATTAGTTGCAGCAAGACTTTCCAAAGGTGGCTTCTATTGGACTGCTCACAGTCAGGTGTAGCATAGGACTTATTCATAGATCTTCCTGAAGATGCAAAATTGATTAGACTGTTACGCAACACTAAGAACAATAACCTTTCACATTTGGGGTATTCGTGTTCTAAGTGGGGGAAAAAACCCAAGCGCATAACTTTGATTTGATTTAGAGAGTGCAGATGTGAGAGCAAGAATTTGAAAACTGTTTTAAGCAAATCTCTGCAAAACACTGTCAAGTGTCGTCGGCATGAAACAGGTGTTACATCTTGAGCATGTTTTGTTGTTTTTCATTTTAGTTGTTAGTCTTCCCGCTGTTTGCTGTTAGAGGGCACGATTCCCTCCTCACCCCTGCGATCTGACATCCTTCAAGGAGAAGCAGTGATGTTTTTCTGCTTGGGTTGCTTCCATGGCTTAATTATATTTGAGGAAAAATTCATTAGAATCATGTACTATATATATGTATCTAATAAGTATATGGAACTACAGAACACATGTAGATGCAACACTGTATTTTAGGTTACAGATCACTATTTACTGCATTTGTTTTTTATCATAACTGCATATAAAATGAAGAAACTTGATTTTAGTGTGTTTTTTATTTGACAAGTGTATATATTGTTTATCATATTTGTTTTTCATTGTTGTCACATAAAATGACCCTTTAAGATTATATGTTTTATGTTTAAATTAAGCTAATTTTAAGATCTTAAACTTGACTCTTGGCATGCATCTTTACAAGTTAAGAACATTTTAAGCTAAGTAAAATGCAATTCATAAACTCACTGGTTAAAAGTTATTTTTGTTTGGCTTAACTATAGTGAAATACTAACTATCTTCTGTCTAACATAATAGTAGGGAATGACATGTTCTCACTTAATGTTGTCTTTCTATAGTTAACAGTGCATCATCACCTAATTCTGAGCTGGTAACACATTGAAAAATAAGTGACTGAAGGAAATGTACTTTTTCTATTTAAGTGACATGAATGTATCTGGGTTGCTCAGGGTTGAATTGGAGCCTGTTGATAACTGGTCTTTCAGACCAGTGAGATTTTATTTTTTACCAATAATTAATGTAGTAATGTTGAATGAGTTGAGGAGGAGACACCAAACAGTTTTTGGTTAATAGTTTGCTTTAAGGTTGTATTATATTAGTTGTCAAATGCAACAGTACTTTTTTCATTTTCTTTTTAAATAAGCAGCAGGTGCCTCAGTTTAGAAATCCTTTCTCTCTGCACTAACACATACCTGAGCAATTGACCAATCATTGAGCCTTTTTCAGTGATGACTCTTGTGCTTTGCATATATTGTCACAATGCAAGATTTAGTAACTGTAAAAAGGAGTAAAGTAAAATATTTCAGGGAATGCAAAAAAGATTTAAGTTTTTATCTTTTTTTAAGAGAATCCTGTATTCATAATGTGCTTTGCTTCATTCTGTAAATAGTTGAATGGCTTATGAATCTTAATTGTAACCTTTTCAGGTATTTTTGTACAAATAAGGGACTGATATATTCTGTTTATTGTAATTAGAATAAAACATTAATACATTGATATACATTTAAATCTGTTCTGGTATGACTTTTTGGAGTGACCATTTATTTCTTAAAGGATACCAGTACTCTAAATTGCTTTCTCCTCTAATTTGCCACTTTAGATTTATATCAGAATCTTTTTTATTGTATAATTTAAATCTGTCTTTCGATTTTCTAACCACTTTATCCAGTGCAGGGTCACAAGGAACCAGAGCCTCACCCGGCCTGCGATGGGCACAAAGCAGGGTATGTCTTGGAGGGGACGCCAGTCCATCCCAGGCAGACAGACACACAAACCTACCTGTATGTCTTTGGGCTGTGGGTGGAAACCCACACAAACACAGGGTGAACATCCAAGCCCCATGCTGATTTCAGCTCCAAACACCCCTGAACCTGAACCAGGGCCCCAGCTTACATTATATTGTGCATCAGAAATAAGCAATAGAATGTAATTGGATGGGTAGAGTCAATGCAGTTTATTTCATTTTGATATTGGACCTTGTTTGGCAGGCATGTTTGTCTTCTAGATCCCATAACTTCCCAAAGAAGTGCAGTTTTAAATCTTTGTTTGATCTTGTATGTAACAGTCATGGAAGTCTGTTCTATAATACTGCTTAATATGGGGCTGACTTTACTGAGCTCCATGTTTCATTTTCTCAGCTTGGTAAGCATCTGAGCGAAATATTCAGATCTTAGCCATTTCCCATCTAGAGGCTTCCCATTATCATTATGGGAACATCTTGTCATCTTTTGCTGTTGTGATGCTAAGATAGTTTCACTTTTGCCTCCTTTGCAATATGCTTGTATATTTTTTTGGGGTTTGTCTGATATCCTTGGGTTTGTTTATTTTTTTCTTTCACTTGCAGTATATTGTACTCTGTTTCCAGTGCTTCCTTTCTGATGTATTAAACCACTGGGCCACTGCTCTGTAGCCTCTGATTTGCTCTCTTCAGCTGCGCACCTCCTGCCTTCCATTGCGTTCTTCATTGAGCTCAGTGTTGAGCTCTAACTTGATCTCCCTTAGTACCTGTTGCATAAAAAAACTGTCACATTGCACAAATAGTAGTTTTGAACATTGGTTCTAAAGAGCGAGGCGACTGCAGTATCAAACTACAGGCTGTCTTAAAAACAGGTCATGGAGGAGAGTGTCTGTGATGGTAAAGCCACTGGCGGTACTTTAAGTTTTTATGGTAATGCAGTATCATTTGTGGTCTGAAACTGCACTTTGGGCACCTAAACATTCTCCAAAAGAACACTGAGGCCATCCGCCTTCTTACTTAAAGGAGGAAGAGGAATTTATCACCTCACATAACCATTAGATAGTGTAACTGGTAAGTTGTAATGATCCCAATCTTGTGCTTTTCCTTTAAAACGTTCTGTTTTAGCATTTTCATATCTCTGCAAGAGGAACACTGGGACTGTTGCCACTATCTTAAGAGATTTGATAAATTACTGTTTGACATTTTGTTTTGAAGCTGGAGCAAATACTTAAAGACATACTGTATTAGCAGGAAAAAACCTTCTAAATTTATTTTTTGACAAGATGTCTCACAGTTATATCAACAGCCAAGGATTTCATACTGGTGTGTACGAAAGCTGAGGAAACATAAGACCAGCAGGGGTGACAGCACTGCAGTCAGAATTGCCTCATTCCACCATTATCGTAATCGTTCAAGATGACGGAGCATAAGAAAAACAATGGAAAAATGTCAGCCTGGTACCACTCCATTGTATATCTAGAGCCTTGACTCATGATGCCTATATAGATCCCTTGTGTGCAACACACTCATGTGACCTGAATAGTTTCTCAGAATTTCACCTGACAAATCACTGACAATCTAGTCCTTGAACTAATCATTATTGCCGGGAAGCAGCAGCTCTGTGGAAGTGAGGTAGGACTCGTGATACTGCTGTGTATCCAAGCATGATAAATGAGACGGAAGTCACGGCTCCCCCTCCTCGCAGCCGTCTCGATTTCACAAGAAGGTTTCGGATGTGAGGAAGTAAACTGTGAGGAAGTGCACCCCTAACTGAGGGGTCCGCTACACTGCCATAGTCGGTCCTGAATTTAGGGACCCATGTTCCCAGAAGATAGAATGGTACTTTGATTTTTTTTTTCCAGATCTGTTGCATCACTAAACAAACCACCTGTTTTACCAGTTAAGTTGTTACAAGTCTTGAGACAAGGATGTTTGGGTCCTTCAAACCCTGCTGGAATGGGCTTTCAGGGCAGCACCACGGATGGGGACCCCTGACCTGAGCCAAACGACACCTTTCGGCACACACCTCAAACGGTTAATACTCACTCTAGGGCACGTCTTCCGCTTCATTGACTTTCAATTCACATATTTTCATGTACTTGGGTGAATTTAAGACTTTAATGAACCAATGTCTTACAGCGACGCATTTGTTCTGGACCAGCACCTCAATTAGAAAAAAATAAATTCCTAAATGTTTTGATTTTAAAATAGTTGCAACATATTTGCTAGGTACCAAAGCAAATGCTATATTTAGCAAAATCAAAGAAATCCTCCTCGATGCCTTGGAAAGATCTCTAGGCAAAGAAGTCGTTTTTGTGCTCGGCGAGGGAGCTCGTGTACCCGGATTTAGAATAATCTATACCGCATGCTCTACCTGCTTTTTACTACAAGAGAAAACTCATGAAGACAAATTGACATGAGTATATTGATACATGACGGCTCTTTCCTAAAACACTGTGTGTAGAGTTAGGTACCGGTATCTGCAATACTGGACGGGAGAGAACCAGGCTCACTCTCGGTCACTAGAGGGCACTGTGAAACCAGAAAAGAGGTCGACGGGTTTCTGGTTCAGTCTGTTCAATTTAACTTATTCAGCCCGCCTCTGTTTATATATATCATCAACTGTATTTTTATGCGCAGAATAAAGCAATAAAGCATCTTATGGTAGATGTCCAATATAGTACCATTATTTAACTTGTTTTTGTTGAAGTTCATGCATTGTTTTTTAGTGGACTGTTCATTTAAATACCAGGTTTCAAGATCCGAGCTCTAAGTTGCATATATATATATAATATTATGTGCTTATTCGCATACCAATCCTATTCTTTACAATGCTTAAAATTTGTGGGACATTTTCTTTTAAACTGCAAAACGGGGATGGTTGATGTGAATGAGAAATTGCAGTGTCCGTAACCTAAGAACTTTATAGTACAGATAAAAGCAGGGGTCTTGAAGAATTGTTGCTAGTCTGCATAATAGTATATGGAGGTATGGAGGTTGTTCAGCCTGTTTTTGATTAATCACTGGGGGGGGAACAAATCTACCAATATGAAGTTATAAAGTGTAACAAATCTGCCCTCTTGAGGATTGTAATATTGCAGCATTTACTGCCTTCCTTGCTTTCTGCTTTCTAGTCAGACTCAAGCACATAAAATATGTCAATCTAAAAACCATCTGTTTACTTTTTGTCTAATTGCAGTCTGAAATTGTGCTTAATGTGAAGTGTTTTTTTGCACATACTGTATATACTGCATGTTCGAAGTAGAAACCATACAGATAAACAAGATAATTACGTATATTACTGGTTTCCTGTATATGAAAATGGTGTGGTAAATTTGTGTTTTAGACTTGGCCCGATTACTTCTCAGTGAGATCAGAAAGGCTACCAGTTAATGTGTTCACTGCCGATTGGAATACAACCGTGCAATGGACAGGACTCGAAATGATCAGAGACAATATATACTGTATGAACCGCAGACACCTTGTTCAGTTTACAGTGAAGTGATTTATTTGGCAGTGGCTGACAGAGGTATCTACCCAGTGCTGCAGGTATCCATTTGACACAAAGACACAAGAGGTATACCCCAGTCATTCAAAAGCAGGAGAACTACATTCAAGGAGGAGCTTCAGTCTCATGGCCTTGGTATCTACCACTGCATAACACTCCCAGACAGGGAAGAATGTTTATTCCAGTACAGTTTGCAAATGTGCCATTTTTTTTGCATTGATGTCTGAAGAACAAGAAACTTGGCACATTCCAGCATATCACCCAGAAGGAAGCTTTCTTGAGATGGTGCATGTGGCTTTAAACCTGAGATCTGATATCCTTGCTCATCCAGTCTGTAGAAGATTTGTTGTCAGCAAATATAGAATGATTTCTGTCCCTGCTGCATTCGGGTGCATCGACATCATCTTTGACAGATATGACCAGTTGATCAAGAGTGGAACAGGAAGAAGAGGAGGGTGCAGTCCCTGTAAGAAGGGAGATAGAGGGCAGAGATACCCCAGTTCTTAAGAAATGGGACAATTTTCTTGCTCTAGCAGAAAACAAGGCTGACCTTGCAAGATCACAGCAGTTGATTGCGCAAGCGCCACACAGCATGGTCCTCGTTGTATCAGGAGCCTTCAGCAATGCCTGCCTGCCTGCCTTTCACGCTCTGACGGGGTCAGACACAACCTCATGTTTGGCTGGTCACACCAAGAGGTCCTGCTTCAGAGGCAATCACAAGCTCCTGGTAAATCTTGGTGTAGGCAGCGTCCGTGACCAAGCAGCCAGTGATGCAGAAGCATTTATCTGCGAAGTGCACAATGTGCAGCTGACTCATCTGTGGACAAGGCTCGATCAGTTCTGTTTGGTCAGGCTTGCACTCCAGAATCCCTCTCTCCAACAGGCCGCGCCCGGTCACTTCACATCGAGCATGCACACTTCCAGGCAGCAGTGTGGCGACAGGCTGATGTGCAATATCCTTTGCTGCCATTTCCTGAGGCACTGGGATGGAGAAAAGAGGACAATGTGCTTGTTCATGTGTTGATGTTACTGCCATCACTACCTGACACCTGTTTGGAGATAATTAGCTAGACCTGCAAGAAGCAGTGCACAAGTGCCCACTGTAAATGCAGGAAGTCAGAGGCCTTGCACATCTGCTTGCAAATGCGACACAGATGATGAAATGTGCAGAAACATTTAAAACGTCAGTAAGACTGCTGTGTCATACTGTATTGCTACTTCAGATTGTTTGCAACTTTGTAACTGTATAACTACAGCAGTACA